GACCAGCCTGCGCATCCGCGCAGTCTGATCAGGAATCATGCTGTTCGCTATCAGTTTCTCTACTTGTTATAGAGTTGTAAGCTAACAGCATGGATTCTGATCAGACTGCGCGGATGCGCAGGCTGGTCTGGATCCATGCTGGTCGCAAACCCATTATGTTGGTTTTGTCATGACACAGCTCAAATCAACAAATTCTTACTGTCATGTACATGCTGGTGCTTAATGGTACGTTTCAGGAATTCTTCTTCGTCTTTTGATTTAACATCAACTAATTTAGCATCTAGATCGTGGCATGCTTTCTGAAAAATGAAAGATACTGTGACACAAAAGAACACCAGTATGAAGAAATTTATTAACATTTTGAAAGTTTTTCTAAAATTGTTTAAAAAAGACAATGTATAATCTTCTTGATGGTCATTTAGCAATTAATTCATTTTGTTTATAGATTTAACACTACGTGTTCAGATTCTACTAATTGATAGGGATAAAGCGCAACGTGCGAAAGGATAAAATGTACTGGTAAACGCGTTTCATTGAGTTACTATGATTCAAAATATTAGGTCATCAATTCATTTTACAAAGCGATATTTTTTAAAGATAAATTATATAATAATTAAACTAAATGGCAATTACCGCGGCATGGAACCATGTCTGTTTTGTTGTCACAAATGAATAACAGTTCCCGTTGAAAGTTATCCATCCGTTTGGACATGCGCTGACCACTTAAAACGAAACAAAAGTATATAAACCACTGTGTGTTTAGTTATGTATCGAAATTCAATATATCATGATGGCGAAAATCTCGAGATAAAAATCTATTCATGTAAAAATTTGTCACGACTATCTCCTTATAACATTGGTCAAATAATTGTGATCTTTGTCATGTTAACACTGAACCTGCTGGAACCCAATGTGATCAGCCTTTGCCACCAGTATAGAGCTAAACCAGCCTGCACATCCGTGCAGTCTGACCAGGCTCTATACTGTAAGCAGCTCAAATTTTGTTTTGTTGATACTGTAATCCCTTGAATTTTGAATAGACTGTTTCAAATTCATAGCTGGACAGATCCTTTATAGAAATATAGTAGGTTAAAGGTTAACCATAATTATACAATTAAAGATAATGACAAGACATAACATCTTATCAGCATAAATATAGACAATAAAATCTGAGTCATTCTGATAAACAAGAAATCTACAAAATGTTGAACAATTTATAACGACAATATTGTTACAAATTGTTTTAGCATCATTCACGCCAATGCAAATCAAATTGTTTCAGTCTAAATGTTGCATGTTTGTTAGTTAAGTCGACAGGGTTTATAATAATTATTATGTATATGAGTATTCAAAAATGATCCTAAAACATCTTTATCAGACACATCGGTGAAGGGCGAATTGATATAACAGCGGTGAAGGTTGAATGAATATAACATTCCGTGACAATGCATTTTTATATAAATCATTTAAAGTAAATGATAATTAACTGCTGACAATGCAGCATTTCAAACATCAGTTGAATCTTGAATGAAGTAACGAATCCACGTGCATGGCATACATATATACGTAAGAAAACCCTGCTGACTTACTAAATACATATTTCTACATGATTATGCATTATTCAAGCTCATTTTATTCCATAGTGCGAAAGAACCATTTATCAAATTATGTAACACGAATGCATTTCTAAAAAACTAACCTAAAATCGTGGTCAATAACAAATGTAGAGCACATATATTCCACCACATCTTCGCGTTCCTAATGGTTACTCTTATCAACGGGGTCATTCGTTAAGTAAGTCAGTACCTACGCTTCTTCGATGGTTTTTGCGGTCACGTGATTTGAAATATTGTAAATTCGTAAACAACAATAACAGCAACTAATTATTATTGCTTTCTTTGGGAAATTTACTCTGTTAGAATTTATTTGATGCCATTGCGGGAATCATAATAATACCAATCGAAACATCTCGGCTTTTATTTATTATAACATCTTATTCGAAGATTGACAGAAAGGGTCAATAATGATGCCCTACTTAATGCACCAAATAAATACGTTAGGAAGAAGAGGAAAAGCTCGTGGAACAAGCAATTGAATACAACATAATTATTCCAGTTCATATTGTTTTAGCACCAGTTACGAGTTACCCCTACTCCCGAAGAGTGCGAGAGATAGCACGAAAGAAAAACATACAAGTTATCACAAAAATATAATCGAGTAAAATTAGAGTTATTTTGGCGCTAAAAAGCATGGACCATCTACAGTGGCGTTGAGAAAGACTTTTAATATATAATGTCGGTCTATATAGTGGTAGGCCTGTATCAGGTATCAAGTCAAGTTTTTGCTATTTCCCGAGCTGGAGGTTGGCACGGATTTACATCTGACTTGGGCGTTATCCCTTATGACCAGGAGATCATATCCTACCAATAAATGCGGTCCATGACTTTTTGCATTTTCATATGTATTTAAAAGGAAAATACCTTTCACTAAAGTGGTATAAAAATAAGAAAAGTTTATAGTTTATATCGGAAAATATCTAGCTATAGTTTCTATTTACATTGTTTTCAACGGTTATATTTATATATGTACAAAATGTTGTTAAATCAAAATAACATTTATGTTGTATTTTATGACAAGAAAGTTAAATGTGGGATTCAACAAATCTGTATAAACTTAATAGAAAGACAATTATACCAGGTTTTTATCGGATATATTTTGTTAGTTTATATGTCAATGTTCTGCGGAATGTGGTTTATAAATTCATTTACAAAAAATGCGGTCCCGGACTTTATTTTTAAAAGCTGACAAAAACAGGGCATATTCACAATAGTGTCGCAATTGCTGTTTTAATTTTTATGATGATACAACTTGAATTACCCAACACAGACACAACGCCCATATATGTATGGTATAAATGAGCCGTGTCACGACAAAACCAACATAATGGGTTTGCGACCAGCATGTATCCAGACCAGCATCAGGATCCATGCTGTTCGCCTACAAACCCTATAACAAGTACAGAAACTGATAGCGAACAGCATGGATCCTGGTCAGACTGCGCGGATGCGCAGGCTGGTCTAGATTCATGCTGATCGCAAACGCACTATGTTGGTTTTGTCGTGACACGGCTCAAATAATGTTTCGTTAACTGTAACGGTCTGTTGCTCATTTACCTTATTTATTCATCTTTATCTTCTACAAGGGAATTTTTATCATGTAATTACGGAAAATTATTTACATCTAACAGGTAAACATCTTGTTTACAGATAATCGTACATTTCAAAATTCATCATATAAATAACCATGTTGTCACGTGATACGTGTAGACGTACAATCATGTGACCATTCTGACATTGAACCAAATAAAACCCACGTGTACTTTAAACGATAACGGGCAATAAATTGAACTCGAACATGAATACAAAATTAATGTAACATCTTTAGAGAATTATATATGTTCATAATTTTTCAAACTAAACTTAACCAATGGAAAAATCTACAGGGAATTAAGTACATAAATTTATACTTTTCGTGCATATAATATTCATTCAAAATCCGCTATAATGAGCACTGTCTGTTGTTAAAATAGAAATTTACATTTCGATAAAGTTCAAAGTATGTCACCATGAATTCGATAAAGTTCAAAGTATGTCACCATGAATGGAAACTTTCTTGTGTCAGCTTCGAGCAAGCACCTGAAAAGAACATTGGACATTCTGTAAGCGAGCTACATGAAATAATCTAGATTTTTGTGGAATTCGAACTCATATCGGGATATATCGGTTAGGGGAAGAAGTTTTTGAGTTAGCGATGTTAACAATTTGGCAACGCAGACCAGTTTAAATCCATTGATGTTAATTAATTAAAGATTAATTAATAAAAGAGTATTGATTCAGCAAAAATCTCAGTACTTCCGGCAACATTTTGAAAAAATAACAGGTTGAGTTTGTTTTCTTAATGTTTATTTAAACCCAATCGTCATAGTTTAGCGAAATATAACTGTAAACGGAGTAAGGCTATAGCTAAGGTCTGGTTGCCTGAACTACGATATTTTTAGGGCATATTAAGCCAAAATTATATAGTGACATGTTTATTGTCATAACTCGTTCAAGGCTGTGACCGGACAGCTTTAAGTCCACATATACCATGAACACAACGATTAACAGAAGGTCATCGTGGATCTCAATTGGTTACAGTGACCGCAGTTTGACCATCTGCAGTATGGAAAGTTGTAAAATTCAAAATTTTCCATAACGTTAAAATAAAGCAGACGACAGTTGAATAGATGAAACACTCAATTATTTATATCTATATTCAGCAGGGTTAATGCATTAATAACTTGTTTATCAAAGATTTATTTATTATATTTGCAGTTTAGATAGCGGTTAAAAAGGATCACAACGCCGACGCCGAGTTTAGAACAAATTATATCGCAAACCACTATAACAGTTTCAATCACTTTGTTTTTAAAAGAAAAATCTTGATTTTAAAACACTGTTATAATTATAAAGATGAGGTTCGGAAAGTTTTTGAATGTTAACGTAAACTTTGTGTTTTTATATAATGTTAATTCTAAATATAACAATCATCATAAATATGCACTCTTAATCACATGTAAACGGGAAATTCTTTTTATACAGTAAGAAAATAAAATTTCAATTAACATTTCAATATAGTTTATATTTTCTTATAACCTATTCAGCATTCGTCATATAAGAGCTATAAACTGATTAAACGACGAAAGAGATAAAGGTCCGTTTTGCATCGTGCACGCAGTAATACACTAAGATGAACTAAGTGTCCTTATCAGCAATGATTTTCCAAGTGACACATCAGTGGTATAGTACCCTACATTTTTCAAAAAGAACTATCACCCATTCATACCGTGACACTCAAAATCTGTATACATGCGTGACAGGGCTTATGTAAATATGGAAAATATATCCCTCCCCGTCGGCAGAGAAATTATCAACGGAAAATTTCTGTCCCCTACAAAAGTCTGAATATATAATAAGTCAGTTCAGTATGCAGACAGACCATTAAACAATCATGACTGGTATTAACGTAAAAGCTTGGATAAATGAGATCAGCGCGGACGGTGTGACGTTACAACAGTCACAGAATGCCTATATAAAATGGGCGGACAAATATGATGAGGTAATTAGTTTTTGTTGAATTATTTTTTTTTATCAAATAATATGAACGCAGACCAGTTGCAAACAAATTTTCACTGCAAATGCATAAATATATTCACAAATAACATGGAAATTAAACCAAAAAAAAAAAAAAAAAAAAAAAAAAAAACAAAAAAAAAAACAACAAAAACAACAAAAATAAAAAAATAAAATAAAAAAAATAATTATTTTGTGTAGAAATAAAAATGCAGCTATAAACCTATAAAAGCTATATACAGGTATGAACAAGATAAATAAATAATTAAAAATTATAGTAAAATAATAAATTTTCGTAATTTCTCTAATGTTCGTTGATTCCTTTATCTATCAAACACCTGTTTAAGCTAAAATTTGGTCTAAACTTTGGATGTCTCGTATAAAAATATTAACTTGTAAAAAAAAAAACATTTAAAAAAGTTTATCTATGATTTGGTTTTTGAAAATTTCTGTAAATATTTTTATCAGTACTCTTAAACGCGCCATTATTTCAAAAATGTGTTCATGCAGAAACCTAATTACTGATTCACGATGAATTTTTACATTGAATGAATTCCAGAAGATCGTTAAACTTTACATTACGTCGTGAAATGTGCCCTAACAGCTTTATTTAGGTTACACTTGATAAATACCGAAAATTATTAAAAATAAGGACTATATTACAGTGAACATGCAGAATATATTCTCCAAATAGAGTCTCATTTAATTTCATATTTATTCTACAGATTTTCATCTCTTTCATGCACATATCTCTGTATCTTTAATTAGGACATCTTTACCTACGTTTTACAGAATTAAGAAAAAAGAAAATTTCAAATAAGTTATATTCGATGCATGCATTTTAAGACAAGTAAAGTAAATAATTGAAAAGAATGAATTGTATTTTGATTTTTTATAAATATATTTTAGGATCTTGAAAACCACGCATTCACCGGACCCAAAAAGGTTGCACAAATAGTGCGGGACAAACTTTCCAATCAACGACCCGAAAATGTTCGAATACTCGATGTCGCCGCAGGAACTGGGCTTGTCGCTAAAGAGGTGAGTATGCAGAAATCTTACAATTGCAGGTTATCTAATGTTAAATAGTTTCAGATTTTACTAAGTATTAATCAGTAGCGACAATATTAATTAAAATATCACGCATATTAACGATGTTGTGCTTAAATGTATCTTTATTTACATCTCATCATTGCATATAACTGATAAAACATACATTTCTAAATATATATCTTTCAAAAAATGCATGTCCTGTTGATTTTAAAAGTTTATGACTGGTTAAAATGTCTCATCTTTTAGACCATGCTCTACGGTGCTATCAAGAAATACGTAGATCATTTTAATGAACATTATCACATATTATGCATTTCTAATGAATGATTCATATCACTGAAACTTAAAGAATAAATCTGATAATTTTTGTTTCATTTTCTTCATAATTATATTCTATATTTCAGCTAAGAGAGTTTGGTTTCCGGCATATTGACGCCCTGGAACCATCAGAAGCTATGCTGAAAGAGGCCAAGAAAGCTCATCTCTATGAGAATTACTTTATAGAATACATCTCGCAATCTCAAACCACAATATCTGAAAGTAAGCAACTTTTTTCCTTTTGACCTTTCGACATGATTTGTACAATATTAAAAGTACTGTTAAAACTGTTCAAAGTGGTATGTCTTTTCAAACGTAACATTACGTGACGAATTTGAAATAATAAGAGCTAGCAACTAGATATTGAGCGCTTTTAATATTGAATACCCTACAATGTATATTCTAATGTACTTGGCAAGCTGATTCTTCTACATCAAACGCTTACAATACAAAGGCGGTCGATCATTGTAAACTTGAAATAAATAGAACTGTTGATATAGGCAATTATATGACTCTATGATTTTGTAATTACAAATGTACCTATCTTCTTTTCTGATAATATTAGATTCATACGACGTTGTCACCGGAAGTGGACTCTACGCAAACGAGGCTCACGTGCCATGTGAAGCGCTCTATGAGATGATTCGACTTGTAAAACCAGGTAAGGTTATCTGTAAATTAAACCCTGAAATTGTCTTCTTGTAAATCAAACCTCCCAAAATAGTCGGGCAGTTGCCATATGCTATTCCTTTCACAAATTTGGAAAGAAATCATTTTTGCTCCACCCGTAAGATAGACGATTATTTAAAGAGTCAAAGATTAAAACATAAACTGAATATTTTGATGTAGCATAAAACACGGATCTTAATAACATTTATCCATGACAAAGTAATAATATTGAACCAAATTTCAATATACAATCATTTTCAGTACAATATATACAAATAATGAATCTATATCTCGTACAATCGTTGTTATACGTTCTATATTAAGTTTGTTTTATTTTTCAAGGTGGCCTTATTGTTCTTTGCGGTCGAAATCATCTTTTGAATGACAGTGAAACTTACAAGCGTCTGGAACCATTGATGAACAAACTAGAATCGGACCAGAAGTGGAAAAAAGTGTCACGTGAAATCTGGCCTGGATATTTGAAAGGAATAGACGGTGTAGCATGGTGCTACCAAGTACTTTAAAACAATATTCAGTTATATTTTTGTGTGTGTATGTCTGTTTTCATCAAAATGTAATATCATTAAAATATAGATTATGTTATTGTTACATTCTTGTCATTGAATGTATGAATAACCCTGTCCTTGTCCTGGTGATTTTGTCCTAATTTGTGATTACACATTTTCGAACAAATATAAAGCATAAAGACAGTACAAAATACATCAGATTACTGTCTATAAGTCTTGGCCTACTTTAGATTTGAAGACTACAATACAAAATAATGAAATGGTAAATTCATCTGTATTGATGAGTTTACAAGTTTGACGCTTAAATATGTCCATTATATTCCACTCTAACAATCCAAAATAATTTATATTACCGGATTTATTGGTTTTGATTTTACTTCAAACTTTCAACCACAGCCCTCGTTTTTGAATTCGTGTTAGTTTTTCAGGTTAACGTTCAGACTCACTACCATTTTCTATTCTACCACTGTGACAGTGTAAAATTTCAAAAGTTTAAAAAAATTTTGAAATGTATGCCACGTCCATTTTATTTAAGCGATTTAAGCATGCCAGACTGACAATGCAAGAACCACGTGCTAGCCTCCGTGCAGCAGCACTAAAGACGAAAGAAATATGAATTTATGGCCGCAACAAATATATCTGAGGTCTAATTCGTACCATGTTGCTGCTGTGCTAAGAGAAAATCATGATTATCAATTACCTTCTCTACCTTTTTTTAGAGAAAATGAACACATTCATCTGAATAAAATCAACTGGTAACAAAATATAAATTTCTAAAAGTTATAATTAATGCCCTTTTCTGTCAATGTATTGACTAAAATTAGCGGGTATTCGGTTAATTGAAATGTACCCGGGTACAAGGCAAAATGGAACCTATACCCGGTAATCATCTATACCCTATGAGTGACTGAGATCCGTTTGATAATGAAAAGTTTAAAACACGTGCGTTAAATAAAAACAGATATCAATGAGAATAAAACAACTGCATCTTCTACAATGATACTTGAAGACAATTATTAGAACAAATTAGAGAAAAATGAAAGTCTAAAAGAACGCCTAAAAACGGCAAAATTAATAATGTTGGCTTGTAGGCTCGGTTCGATCGAACCTGTCCATGGACGGTTGTGGCAGTTACAAGCCACAGTTCACGCCACCAGCAAACCGGCTTAAGCAGAATATAATATTTTAGTTAAATTAGAATAAATTGATTTTGTTATCAACCAAAGCCTTTGAAGTTTTCTTTTCAACGTGCACTTATCTTGCCCGATTGTTTACAATAACAATTTCTTGGATAAGATTTACAAACAACTTGCTAATTTTAATGTCACTATCCATACTTGTACTGCATGGTGAATACCTAGCTCACTTTTACAAGTAACATCATCGTCGTCCTTTGGATTTACCACACCAACTTCATAAACATAATATATATTTATTTTTATTTTATTTTAGCAACAACATAGATCACAGTTACATAATAAGATATATATAGATAAATAAATATATATAAAATAACAGTTTATCCAAATTAAAATATCATTTCATAAACAAATTTAGTTAATGACTGAGATCAGATGAGGCATTGGATAAATGTATTTAAAAAAAGAAGCAAATAAATAAATTAATAAAATCACATTTCAGACTACAACAGTCAGAATTATAATTATCACAGAATATTGTTTAAAGTTACTGATAAACATGATATAAAAGAAATAAAAGAATTTCAATAAAAATTCAATACAAAGGTTTTGTTTAATAGTGATCTATGGTTACAAGGATAGCCCATTAAGCTGGCGTGCTTATTTCCAATGGGGTCCTGTTAACCAAATAGATGGAAACAAGATGAAACCAGAGAGACATTCATTCCTCAAATAAAAATAGACAATGAGATAACCTTCAAATTATTCAATCACAGTAGTTTTGCATTATCACAGAAAGAAAGGCACAGGAAAAAATAAGATAACTAAAAAACAATAAAGTTTGGCGAACTTATGTCGCCACTTAGTAATATAAAAAAATCACTTTGATGTTGCGCAGCCCATATTGAAGCAAGATGGCTTTTAAACAGAATTTTTATATAAAGTTGGATTTGATATACATTTTACATCATCTGGCAAACTATTCCAATCTTTAATACCATTATAGAAAAAGGTGCTATTACATGTCTTATTACAAAGAGGAATTGAAAAATTAAACTTATTTGATCTAGTGTTGTAGTTGTGTATATCAGACATCCGAACAAAATTTGTTTTCATATAAGTTGGACACTTATTATAAAAAATCTTATGCATATGATTAAGTCTTAATTGTTTAACTCTGTTTTCAATATTTAACATGTTAACATCTGTAAAATCAGAAGGAGTTAAACTAGTTCTTGGATGGTAATCTTTTATAAACCTTATGACTTTGTTTTGAGCTACTTGCAGTTTCTTTTTCAGACTTTTATTTAAACTTTCGTACCAGGACGAACAAGAATAGTCAAAATGACATTGGATTAAAGCAGAACAAAGCAATTTTCTACAGTTAAATGATAGACATTTACTGTTTCTGTACAAAAATTTAAGTTTAGTGTTTACTTTAGATATGACTGTATTAACAATTTTTTCTCCAGACAGAAGATTTTCAATTTTCAAACCAAGATATTTGACTGTCTTAGTAAATTCAATAGTGTGACCATTACAAATAATATTAAAATTATTAATCTTTTTAAGTTTTTTCTTTGGACCAAAAATCATACATTCAGTTTTTCCTAAGTGGAGAGACGGTTTATTATCAACTAGCCAATCTGAACAAGATTCTAGTGCTTTACCTAATTTCTGTGAAATAAAATCAGGATCAGGATGAGAAAAAAGTATAGTGCTGTCATCAGCATACAAAATAAGCTTACACTCAGAATCGATACTGGTGATCATATCATTTACATAGCATAAAAAGAGCAATGGACCTAAAATACTTCCCTGAGGAACACCACAATTTACTATTGATGGAGAAAAAGAAAACTCTCCAATATGTACTAATTATATATACCTGTATTTACTTAGAATTTCGGAAAGTGTCATTAGAACAAAGGAAAACGGATCCGAGTTTAAACTTAAAAACTAAGATTACATCATTCATATATATCTTTCTGCAATCATTTTTAATGTACATGTAAATATCAGTTACGTTTATTATATACTTATAATTGAAATATTGAGAAATATTGATGGAATAAAATGTTCTGTATTTTCAAAACTTATTTTTCACTGCAGTGAAACATATTTTCCGTATTTTAGCTGGTATCTTGACTGACTTCTTTCTTCTGAATTCAGTCACTACACAAAATGTAAGGGTATATTTTTCAAATTGTTATGTAAAAGAAGAGGAGAAATTTTATTTAATAAACAGAAAATTCAAGTTTTTTTCTTTAAATACAGGATTTATTTTCGTCTTGTGATGCGAAAATTATCATATTTCATACCACTTTATGAAAATAAATTCTGTATTTATAGAAAAAAACTTGAATATTCTCTATATATAATTATATTGAAAAGTTAATTTAGACGAAGTATATTATACTTTATTTTCTAATTCTGCTTTTGTCATTGTTGTATTATCATTACATTTCTGCGTCTTTCTTTTCGCAATTTATTTTAAAGAAAACTGCGCATTGCATAAATGTTGTAATACATATAGGTAAACATGACCTAAACTACCATTATGTAAAAATGTTAAAATTTTCTTGATGAAAAAAAAAAAAATAAATAAAATAAATAAATAAAAAAATGCGATTGTCACGTGAAAACGGTACGGTATAGGTACGGGTTTAGTACAAGCGCGATAATTTCTCACGACTTACTTATTTTACGACGCACGGAAGCAATATGGTGGACGAAGCAACAAAACGAAGCCTTGCACAAATTCCACTCTTAAAAACGAAAGCAGGACCGCGAGATGGTGAAATATGGGTGAACAGACTAAAAGAAGAATATCAGTCGTTAATTAAGGTGACTATATTTAAATATACTAAAGTGTGTCCTTGTAAATAGATCTACATTCTACAATATGTCAACGCGACCTAAGAAAATGTACCATATGTTACATATATACCTTTGAGAGTTTAATTTAGTCGCGTATTTATCGTTTAAAGATATTTATTCCTTTATATACAATTTGAAAATGTATAATCTTACATTTCTGTGTAGGTTTGTTGGCTGCTGCGAACAAGACACATCATCTCTCCCCCTGACATTTTTCAAATCATAATAATTTAATTGAATAAAACATCTCTGATAAAAGGTTCGTACGAGCCCGTATAGTCCTTTAAATATGACGTCGCTTTGAGATATTTTTACTTCAGGGCAAAGCAACGTCATATCAAAATTGCTCAAAAACCCGTAGCATGTTCCACTAGAAAATCGGGCAGAACGAAAAATAAGACCGCGTGTATTTACATTAGTTTTGACCTATTTATGAACAAAACTAAAAAATAAATACCTTTTGTCAAAATAAAATTAAACTGTCACATCCGAAAAATCATTTTTAAATCCTATCATGTATTTAAATTCCTTTTACAGCCGATAAACTAATGCAGGGTTCGACATTAACGGGATCCCGGGATTCCGAGGATCCCAAAAAGTCGGGAGGAATCTCTGTGATTCCTAGCTGGGGATTCCGTTGGGATCCCTGAAAAATTGCTGTGTAAATTTTTGAAATTGTCTGAATTAATATCATTGAATCACAAATATTCAAGAAAAGAGTTAATAAAGACTGGCAGAACTGCAATGTTCAAGAAAGAAAAGAAAAATCCCGCCGGTAAAATCTACGCTCTTGAATCATGTACGCCAGATTTCCTTTGTGCAGTGACTGCTATCAACTCATTTGCGATATATAATGAAAATAATTTTGGCTAAAGAAACATTCTTGAATAATTTTATATCATGCATTGACTTCATAATATTAAGTTGTGAAAATTCAAGAAAGAAAAATAATTATCGTATAATTATTACACGAGCGGTGTGTACTTCAAATATGTGCAGATCGGCGTTGCCGGCGGTATATATAGCTACGAAGTTTTTTTTTGTGTGCAAAAATTCGGCATTTGTTGATCATTGTAAATTTTCGTAAAAAAAAGTGAAAAAACAAAAAGATTACTGATGTATTTTTTTCCCCTGTAGTACACAGGTTATCGGCGTGGGACCAAGCCCTACCCCTAAGGTACAAAATCAAACAATTCTATCAAAAAATATAATACTGATACTATAAACACTATAGTATCAGTATTATATTTTTGATAGAATTGTTTGATTTTGTATTGACATGTATTTTGAATATATTTAAGTATATTTGGGTAGTATTGTGGGTCCTGGGGGTGGTACCTTAGGGGTAGGGCTTGGTCCCACGCCGATAACCTGTGCTGTAGTACAGCAAAAGTATAATTAATAAATAGAAAAAAAGAATCCATACTTTTCAGTTTAAAATCCTTTTTGAAACTCTGCAGCCTAATTGCTAAAAAATATTGTCTAACTAAAGACTGAAGTGTTCTAAGGTCAATCAAGGTCACGCATAATTTACCGACAAAAAAATAGAAAAATCCTTAGGTGAAACATACACCAAATGACGTATATTTCATCTGACAGTTCTTTGGGCCAATCAGTGCTCTGAACTACATGACTGCTGTATGCGGTGAGTGCCTTTGATGTGGCATATGTCAAAACTTAAAAGAAATCAATACACACAGGGAGGAAAAGAATCGGGCATTTCAGTGTAAAAATTGAGAACAATAAATTTGGATATTACACATCCTGTCATGGACTTGGAGCAACTTTTTATTTTTAAAAACGAAATCATTTGAAGGTACCCTATTTGTAATGCAAACAAAACTTTTTTCTTGATATTTTAGCTTTAGTAAAAATTTAACAAAATATTTAATTTACAACAATCGATGGGATATTTCCTTTTAAACGCAAAAAGTGTACAGTAAGATGAAAATCACTTTTTTTTTTTAAAGTGATCATAATTAAACATTTCTTTTTAAATGACATGAAAGTAAATATTTTCCAAAAGTTATCCATACCAGAACTTACTGGAATATGGAGCCTAATCATTACCTGTAAGTTTTTAAAGATCTACAGATGATAATGTTGGCTCTATTTCAGTGAACCCTAGGCTATCTGGGAAAATGTTTCCCCAGTCCACTTAACTTCAAAAGTTCAAACCCTAAGTCTCATTGCCCAGTCACTTGCATTATACCTTCATTTACAGAAACTGGTTCACAATTATCAACCCCAGGAAGAAAACAGGTTTTATTTTCAAATCGAACTCTTGTTCAGTGGGTGAGCTTAATGTTATTCTGTTTACGTGCATGTAAAAAATGTATTATGTTTTAATTTATCTTAGCAGTCCAATTATATATACACTAGTAAAGTAAACACTTTGAAACACTTTTAAAACTTTAAACAGCAATATTTCCAAAGGGCTCATATGGCCAGTTATGTGTTGACGTGCCGTAAAAATCCAAGCAAACAAAAAAAAAAACCCAAAGGGCTCATAAACTACATTTTCTGCATCTGAAACAAGGCAATATATCATGTGTGTGGTCTTTAAAAAAAAAAATTGAAATCGGATTGCTGCACACCCTTGTTGTTATTCTTTGCCTTCATATTTTACTATTTTGATCTGAGGAATCCCTGACAATTAGGAGGAATCCCTGAATTTAATCTCAGGGATTCCTATGGGATCCCTTGTTAAAACAGTTAGTGTCGAACCCTGTAATGGCGGTCATACAGTGCGCGAAATCTGATTGGCTAATTCAAATGCAAGTGTTTAACTTTAACTGAGTCAGAACATTCTAACAAAATATTTTTTAACGAAATAATTGCCCATGCACCGTCAGTGTGTTCGAATATATTTTTCCGTCCAAACAATTGGAATCAATCTGTAAAGCACCTTGCATAACCAGTATGGCTGATAGACAAAAATAGATTAATGTTTATATTTTATTTTAAATTGATAAGTACATTGTTTGAGAGTTTTTGTGTATGACTGAGCATGAAATTGAAAGAAAAGAAGATAAGCTTTTGAATAAAGCTTGAAAGGCAAGACAATAAAGTTATAGACATTTTTTTATTTTTTATGATGCTTTGCGCTTTTGAGCAATCACTATTAGACATCAGACTTGACCGACATAAACTATAGCAAGCCTGTAATGTCTAATATATTGGACTAGAGCCCGTATTGATAGCCAAAAGATCTAGCCATATGTGAGTCATGTAAAACTAGCCTATACACACTGATATGGCTAGCTGGACAGCACTTTTTCAAATAAATAACCTAAAACAATAATAAATATATTTGAAAAATGTCACACTGTAGCAGACTTCCAGAAATACGTTGGTCCTACGGACATGTCCGATAAATTTTGATTAGGTCGGACGATTTTGTATTCCTGATCGGTCCAACTATTCGGCTTTTATCCAAGTCGCATGTTACTTTATTGTATACAAAATGGTGTCGCTAAAGTAAAGGTGCCAAAGCTGGTAAAAAACGAAAATCTACATCAGAGGAGAGGGCAGAACAGCAGTAAAAGGATGAAAAGAAAAGACTTGAGACAAATTTAATGGAAAATGGAAGCAGGACCGTGAATCGTTGATGTATGACAGGGAGGAGATGAAAATGCGCTGTACGGATTGTGCCGATTTTAACAGCGAAAAAATTAAAACTGAAAAGTTTCATAGAAATACAAGCACAAGTTTTCCTTTGATTTTGATTAATTTTATTTGGTCTGACAGATTTCGTTTCGGTCTGACAGATTTTCATGGTTTGTCAGACCGAATGTCTGACACTTTTTTCTAACTTTCGGGAAGTCTGCTGTAGCGTGAGTATGTAGTTGAACTGTTCAAGTTCTCTGTATTTGATATTACACTTACAGGAGCTGATAATTGTTTAGAAAGTTGGTTTATGTTCAATGAATTGCAACTATTATATCTTTTCAGTATGTTCAAAATAACAAAGAAGCTGATAATGACTGGTTCCGACTAGAATCAAATAAAGAGGGAACCAGATGGTTTGGCAAGTGCTGGTATATTCATGAACTCTTAAAATATGAGTTTGATGTAGAATTTGATGTAAGTTTTTGAAAACTTCATAAGAAAGACTTCATTGTTTAAAATAGAGATTTTACATTATTATTTGTACTATTTAGAACTCATTTAAAGAACATGAGATATAAAACTTTAGGTGCAATGTTTTTAAATCAACAATGTCTTATTAATGTCTTATTTTTCTAAATCTTATTTGGTTGTCCATTTCTGTCAAACCTGTTTTTGGGAATCTAGATACATCTTACTGGTCTTAAAGTGACATAATCATGTCAGATGATGCTTTTTAAGTGTCTGAACTGTTAAGTACACGTAGGTTACGGTAGAATATCTATCTATCTGCTATTTGTTGTCTAAGCTTCTAGCTATAAAACAATTTTTCTCTGCAATTTTTATTATCTAAAATGGAATGATGGTTTTGTTATCAGTGAACATTAGATCATTCTCTGAATGTAATGTGCTGTTGTCATTTCTCTTTTTATTTCACTACTAAAGATAAAGACTAAAGATTTTTTTTATTTTCTTTTCCAGATACCTGTCACCTACCCAACTACTGCCCCTGAAATAGCTCTACCAGAATTAGATGGTAAAACTGCTAAAATGTACAGGTATATATACACTTAATTAAGTGTCTCCAAAAGACATATTGTTTCTGCCTAGCCGTCAGTCTGTCCGTCCCTCCGCATTAAGCTTGTCCGGCCTTCAAAGGTCAAACTACTGATAGGATTTCATCCAAACTTTACAGGAGTGATCAGTGTCATCCCTTGTTGTGCACATTGCCAGCACGTTCCACTTTGCTGCACAAAATGGCAGCCAGAGGTAAAAATAGAAAAAAATCTTGTCCTGCAGCTTTCACAGGTCAAATTAGTGGTGGGATTTCAACCAAACTTCACAGGAGTGATCAGTACTATCCTTAGTTATGCATTTCGCCAGCACATTCTGCTTCAATGCACAAATGGCCACCAGAGCTATAAATAGAATAATCTTGACCAGCTTACACAGATAGAATTGCTGGTTAGATTTAAATGAAACTTCACAGGAGTGAACAGTACCAGGGTTTTACGGGACGCAGAATTTTGCGTCCCTATACGCATAAATTTTGACATGTACGCATATAAGTTATCCACTTGCGTCCAAGTGTATGCACAAAAAATAATCCTAGACAATAGATATTATTGTTTCTGGCCTGACATGATTTTATCTCTTTCTTCTCAAAGCTCACAAAATTCCATTTAAATCTAATACAGCGAGCAGAAAATGCTTGCATTGTTTATTGCGGAAGTTAACATAATTGAAATCTACTGCGCATGCTCTTTGCAAGTGCCCGCTGCAGAAACTGATGACGTTTATCGTGCAAGCTACAGTAACTGATGACGTTTACCGTAAAATCTATTTTAAGTAGCTGTTTTTGGTTTTTCTGTTGCTATATTTAGACGGACTATTTAGAACAAGCAATTAATATTGGTTAGCGTATCCAATGTCGATGCGAATGTATTTTGTACATGAACGGCAATAATAAAAAAGGCAGTGCTTTTTGCAAACTTATTTTCATAGTGTTATAGAAATTAAGTCACTGGGTATGTTATTATCGTTGGTGTTATAAATATAATGGTTTCGGCGAACTTAACTTTTGACTGGGACATCAAGTATGCCCCAGCTTATGAGGAGGTGCAAAAGCGCTTTCGTCAGCCTTTTGTTATATGATATTTTTTAAAACGCAACATATTTAGCTGACTGGTCTGTAAAGTTATATATTGTGTGTTTACTAGTTCAGCTAAAATATTTACAAATAGATCAGTACAAATTTTCAGTCTGTTGGTGTAATTACCTTATCAATAACAAAATATGCTACTAAAACTTGACATTCCAGCCACTCAAAGACTTATAAGCCTTGGAAATAGCACAAAGGGCTACTATAGGGCTATAAAAACCTAGTGATAAAAGATATTGAAATCATATACTTCTAATTATGAAAACAGTACAATTTACATGCATATCTCTTACAGGGTAAATAAATGATTTTAAGCAAAATAGAGTGGTCTTCATAGTCTTTTATAGTGAAAATAATTTTGGACCCCTAAAATTCAGGCCTGGACCCCTACTTTTCTAGGCTGTGCATCCACTGGACCCCTAAAATTTCAAAGAGATGTAAAACCCTGACAGTACCATCCCTAGATGTGCATATTGCCCGCATGTTCTGCTTTGCTGCACTAATTGGCCACCAGAGCTATAAATAAAAAATCTTGTCCAGCTTTCACAGGTAAACCTACTGGTAGGATTTCAATTAAACTTCACTTGAGTGATCATTACCATCCCTAGTTGTGCATATCACGGCATGTTCTGCTTTGCTGCACAAAATGGCCATCACAGCTATAAATAGAAAAATCTTGTCGGGCTTTCACATGTCAAGCTACTGGTGGGATTCCAATGAAACTTCAAATGAGTGACCATACATAGTTTTGGGAGACATATGTTTTTGTGACAAAAACCCTTCTAGTTAATGATGCTTCTCCTGTTGCAAAATTGATTAACAGATTGAAGTGTCTATAATGTGGCAAGTTAAAGATATTAAATTCTTTGAAGGCAAGTGGTGGTAATGTTTTTCCAATGCTATCAGTATTAAGGCATGTTTTAATGTTTGATCAGGCTTGCTCAGCTATTATGTGGTCACTTTTAACTTTAGATATTAAAACTACTTTTGATAACTATGGACAGGTCTTAATTCATAGTCAGACATTTTTATGCCACCGCAGCATCTGCGATGCGGTGGCATATAGCGATTCACCTGTGTGTGTGTGTGTGTGTTTGTTTGTGTGTGTGTGTGTTATATAGATTATATAGTGAACTTAAAAAATCTTCTTGTGAAAAACCACTAGTCCAATTTCAACCAAACTTGGCAGGATTGATCCTTGGGTGAAGAGGTTCCAAAGTTGTTCAAAGAATTTCATTCCATGCAGAAATCTGGTTGCCATGGCAATTAAAAAGAATTAAAAGAATAAATTTAAAAAATCTTCTTGTAAAGACCCAAAAGGCCTAGAGCTTAGATATTTTGCATAAGGCATTGTCTGGTAGACCTCTACCAAGATTGTTCAAATTATAGCCCTGGGGTCAAAATTGGCCCGCCCCGGGGGGTCATTGATTTTCACTATATGTACATATAGTAAAAACTTAAAATACCTTCTTGTAAAGACTGAAAAGGTCTAGAGCTTAGATATTTTGCATAAGGCATTGTCTGGTAGACCTCTACCAAGATTGTTCAAATTATAGCCCTGGGGTCAAAATTGGCCCAGCCCCGGGGGTCATTGATTTTCACTATATGTACATATAGTAAAAACTTAAAATACCTTCTTGTCAAGACTCAAAAGGCCTAGAGCTTAGATATTTTGCATAAGGCATTGTCTGGTAGACCTCTACCAAGATTGTTCAAATTATAGCCCTAGGGTCAAAATTGCCCCTGCCCCTGGGGTCATTGATTTTCACTATATATACATATAGTAAAAACTTAAAATACCTTCTTGTAAAGACCCAAAAGGCCTAGAGCTTAGATATTTTGCATAAGGCATTGTCTGGTAGACCCTTACCAAGATTGTTCAAATTATAGCCCTGGGGTCAAAATCGGCCGGCCCCTAGTGTCATTGATTTTCACTATATGTACATATAGTAAAAACTTAAAATACCTTCTTGTAAAGACCCAAAAGGCCTAGAGCTTAGATATTTTGCATAAGGCATTGTCTGGTAGACCCTTACCTAGATTGTTCAAATTATAGCCCTGGGGTCAAAATCGGCCCCGCCCGGGGGGTCATTGGTTTTCCTTATATGTATATAGTAAAAACTTATAGTAAAAACTTTTAAAAAATTTCTTGTAGCAATTGACAAATGCTAGAGGTTAGATATTTTGCATGAAACATTGTGAAGTGAACTTCTAGCAAGATTGTTGTTGAATTATAGCCCTGGTGTCAAAATTGCCCCCGCCCCAGGGGTCATTGATTTTAAATATAATTATATATATATAGTAAAAAATCTTATTGTCTGAAGGTACAAGGCTTAGAGCTTTAATATTTGTTAAATGATATCATCTATAGGAACTCTACCAAAGTTGTTCAAATTTTGCTTCTAGTGTCAAAATTAGCCCCGCCCCGGGGGTCATAGGTTTTCCTTATATGTATATAGTAAAAAATTAAAAAAAATCATTTTCTCTCAATTTACAAAGGCTAGAGTTAAGATATTTTGCATGAAACATTGTGTAAGGAACCTCTAGCAAGATTGTACAAATTATAGCCCTGGGGTCAAAATTTGCCCCACGCCCAGGGGTCATTGATTTTCACTATGTACACATAGTAAAAAAATAAAAAAATATTTTTGTCTGAAGGAACAAGGGTTAGAGCTTTGATGTTTGCTATATAATATCATCTATAGGTCCTCTACTAAAGTTGTTCAAATTTTTCCCCTGGTGTCAAAATTGGCCCTGCCCGGGGGCAGTGATTCTCATTATGTACACATAGTAAAAAGAGAAAATAAAACAAATGTTTTCTGAATGGGAGAAAGCTACAGCTTAGATATTTGACTTGAAATGTTGTTTGGTGGACCTGTATCAAGATTGTTTTGAATTAAACCCTTGGGTCCAAAATTTTGCCTTGCCCAAGGGGACAGTGACCTACTTTCTTGTCCTTTGATGTACAGCAATGAAATTATGACCATGTGAACAGTTTTAGTTGTAAAATTGAACTTTGATATCAGGTGACCTAGATTTTGTTGATGTGACCTACTTTCTTGTCCTTTGATGTACAGCTATGAAATTTGAACCCTGTGCACAGATTAAGATGTAAAGTGAACTTTGATTTCAGCTGACCTAGATTTTGACAAAGTGTCTTACTGTGTTGTCCTTTTGATGTCACAGTCATGAAATTTAGGCTGTGTGAAATAGGCTTCACCACCAAATTCACTAGACTCGAGTGCATTGATATATTCCTACTCTGATCTTTTATTGAGTTAAAATTAGATTTAACCACTTATCTGATAATAAGAATAAGATAGGTCAGGGATCTATGCTTTATGACAGTCTTCAAAATTGTAAAGAAACAAAAAAAATCTGTTCCTACACTACTATTTAGTGTTGTATTAATGCGGTGGCATAGCATTTTTCTCAAATGCAATCTTGTTTGATACTGAGATATTGTGGTGTTAATGTTAAATATACAATATAGTAATTACACATATACTGTTTTAATGCTTTCAGAGGAGGGAAAATTTGTTTGACAGACCATTTTAAACCACTCTGGGCTAGAAATGTACCTAAATTTGGAATAGCTCATGCAATGTCACTAGGAGTAAGTAATCTTAAAATGATCAAAGTTCCATTTACATTTTGGTGAATTGGCTTTGCTTATGAGCCTTTAATAAACCAATTGCCTGTTTTCTTCATATATCTACAATATTTGCTTTAATGGTCAAACTGATCTTCACAAATACATATTATAGATTAGATTTAAAGCCATTTAAATCTTTTGATGGAACCCTGAAATTGACCAGTTACATAAATTCTATGTGATTAGAATAAAAGAATGCATGTACATTTGTATCTAAAGACCATACAGTTTAAAGGTTCTACTTTCAGTCAGTATCCAAGAAAAAAACCTCAACAAACAGAATATAAAATGTTCAGAAAGATGTTTATGTTCAACAGTTGTTATTTCTAGTTATCCCCCGCCGATGAAATCAGGAGGGGGATATAGTTTTGGCGTTGTCCTTCCATCCGTCCATCCGTCCGTCCGAATTTCGTTTCCGGGACTAGTTCTCTGCAACTACTGGCTGGAATTCAACGAAACTTTATGGGAATCATCAATATCAAGAGGAGATGCACATAAAGTCGGCTTGTTCCGATCCGACACTTTAACTCAGAGTTATAGCCCTTGATTAGTTATGCATATAAATCGTTTTCGCGCTACTTCTCTGCAACTACTGGCTGGAATTCAACGAAACTTTATGGGAACCTTCAATACCAAGAGGAGATGCGCATATCATTGCCTTGTTCCGGTCAGACACTTTAACTCAGAGTAATGGCCCTTGATTAGTTATGCAGTATGCATATAGAGCAAAAATCATTTCCCAGCTACTTCTCTGCAACTACTGGCTGGAATTCAACAAAACTTTATGGGAACCTTCAATACCAAGAGGAGATGCGCATATCGTCACCTTGTTCGGGTCAGACACTTTAACTCAAAGTTATAGCATTTGATTAGTTATGCAGTATGCATATAGAGCAAAAATCGTTTCGGCGCTACTTCTCTGCAACTACTGGCTGGAATTCAACAAAACTTTATTGGAACCTTCAATACCAAGAGAAGATGTGCATATCATTGGCTCTTGATTAGTTATGCAGTATGCATATAGAGCAAAAATCGTTTCCGCCCTACTTCTCTGCAACTACTGGCTGGAATTTAACAAAACTTTATGGGAACCTTCAATACCAAGAGAAGATGCGCATATCATTGCCTTTTTGGGGTCAGACATTTTAACTCAGAGATATGGCCCTTGATTAGTAATGCAGTATGCATATAGAAAAATATTTGTTTCTGCGCTACTTCTCTGCAACTACTGGCTGGAATTCAATGAAACTTTATTGGAACCTTCAATACCAAGAGGAGATGGGCATATCGTCGCCTTGTTCATGTCAGACATTTTAACTTAGAGTTATGGCCCTTGATAACTTATGCAGTATACAACCAGAGCAATAATTGTTTCCGTGCTACCTCTCTGTAACTACTGGCTGGAATTCAATGAAACTTTATGGGATACGAAGAGGAGATGTGCATATAGTCGCCTTGTTCCTGTCAGACACTTATAACTCAGATTTATGGCCCTTGATTAGTTATGGAGTATGCATACATCTCATTGGCATTTCCAGATATTACTATTTAACACAGAGTTATGGGTCTTGTTATTGCCCTGAATATTTATCAAGTTCAAAGAATATTACTGTTTATGCCATGATAAATATATAAATAAAGCCTTATGTCTTCAGTTGTTGTGTTAGTAATAACCAGTACTCGGCGGGGGATATAAATTGAACGAATTTGCTTGTTTTACTTATTTTTGAACAAAACTCAAGTTTTGATTCAAAACAAATGTTTAAGTAACATTGAGAACACTATAATTATGAAAACATTGAATTCTATTTTCAGCTTGGACCATGGTTGGCAGTAGAAATTCCGGATTTAGTAGAAAAAGGAATTATAACACATAAAGAAAATACTGGTGCTGCTGAGAAGTGATGATAAATCTTTATTTAGTGGGTTTTTGTAAAAAAATAATCTGGGGTGTTCTGTTGATCGGAATAATTGTGTTCAAGATTGGGACTCTTATCGAATAAATCAAGAAAAAATTAGCACTTTTGGAATATACATAGCTTATAAAGGATTTTGAATTTATATTTTATTTTTTTGTTAGTGTTTAAAGGCTCATTGTGTCTCAGAATTGCTTTTTTCCTATTTCTCAAAAGATTTTTTTTGTGTTTGTACTTTAATAGTCTCAAAAAAGTTCCTCATTGGCAAATCTGTTTTATCTATTGCATTTTGGCAATAAGTACAGTTATAGCGATTGAGTTTGGAAGTTAAAAAATACTACTTTGATTACAATTTGCTACTTTTACTACAACTAATTTTATAATAAGAGCTCCTTTCCTTAGGTAACAAGCATTTAAAATGCTCTAAAATAATTATTTAAACACTATACTACTGTACACATGTTTGCCTTCTCTAAAATGAAATTTTAATTGTTTCTGGGGCATAATATGCCTTTGAAGTATTTTCTATAGCTCTTGAGGACAGACATTCTTTGTTAATCTTGTGATGGTTGTAGTTTATGAAAGAAAAGAATGTTGATTTAATTTATTTTTTATTTACTTTACATTTCATATTCTTTTATTCCTGCAAAAAAACAAGAAGTACATACATTTGTATGATTTTAACTTTGTTTAAATTCTGTATAGATGTTCAAATGAGATATTATTTGCCTGAATTCAAATCAGAGTTAGAATCATGGTCTGTGATAAGATATGATGAGGATTCAAATTGATTGTTTGATTAGTAAATTATTACTGATGTAACTATCTACATTACATTTATTCTCTTTGCATGGCAAGATAAAAATGATAAAAATCTTGTTCATAATACAGAATACATAATATCAGAAAGATAACTTTCCATATATCCTCCTAGAATGTTACAGATTAGTTACCTCCCTTTGATTGTCTTTTGATTTTATTTTAATGATATATTAATGGTAGATTTACTACATCATTGCTTTTTTATGCTCCCCGAAAAATTTTGGGGGAGCATATAGTCGGCGCCTTTCCGTCTGACCGTCTGTTGTCTTGTCCGGAGCATAACTTGAAAACCCTTGGAGATAATTTGTTTAAACTTCATACAGTGGTAGAGGGCATTGAGGGGAACCATAACTCTATTTTGCCAGGTTTTTGAATTATCTCCCCTTATAGAAAAATCTTGTCCGGGACATAACTCTAAAACTATAAGAGATATCAACATGAAACTTTATAGGTGAATAGATCTAAATGGGAAGATGTGCAGTGCATAAGAACAATAACTCTTTTTTTCCTAATTTTGGAGTTATTGCCCCTTGTTAATTTCAACACTTTGAACTTTGTCCGGAACATAACTCTAAACTATAAGAGATATCAAGATGAAACATTGTAGGTAGATAGATCTCATTGAGTAGAAGTGCAGTGCAAAAGAACCATAACTCTGTTAAGCCTCATTTTTTAATTATCTCCCCTTTTAGAAAAATCTTGTCCAGGACATAGCTGTAAAACTATAAGAGATATCAACATGAAACTTTGTAGGTAGATATATCTCAATGGGGAGATGTGCAGTGCACAAGAATCATAACTCTGCCTTGCCTAATTCTGTAGTTATTGCCCTTTGATTTTTTTTACTTTTTGAAGTTGTCCGGGACATCACTCGGAAACCATAAGAGATATCAACAAGAAACTTTGTAGGTTGATAGATCACATTGATTAGAAGTGCAGTGCAAAGAACAGTAACTCTGCCTTGCCTAATTTTGGAATTATTGCACTTTGAACTTTTTCAGTGGACATAACTCTGAAACTACAAGAGGTGTACTTTCCTGTCGGGGAGCATCACCCGGCTCAAACCGGGCTCTGGTTTCTCTTATCTAGAATTACTGTGTAAATCAAGTTACAATAAAGTGTGGTTGAATTTTGGAAAAATGTAATGTCAGTTAGGAAAATAGATGTTTTATGTACATCACATGTATATATAGACTAAGTGTAAAAGAAGGGTTGCTTTTATTTTAATTCATACTTTTATGTTTTGAGAAAAATACATAACATGAAAAGCAAGTATGACCCTCTTTTATATTCCTGATATTTTTTTTACAGATATAGTAGTGTCATAAAAGGACAGTTTTTCAATTTATAAACGTTGGGACAAAAACATGTTCGGGCAGTTTGAATGGTTAAGATCCTTTCACTTTTTAAAATGTTAGCAAGCATGAAAAAAATATTAGAATGTCTGTCAAAAAATACAGAAATCAACTTCTACATTTAAAATATTTAAACAGTAATCTGATGTCTGTTGAACATAATTCAAACCAGAGACCAAGCTATTGTATACAGAGCTCACTTTAGACCTTTTGTTTCCAAATACATGAAGAAAATGTTATGAGCTGCTTGATACATTTATTTCAATTTATTTCTGTTTATATTCTGTTGAAAATATTTCTGTTTATCTATATTTGAACAGACCTGTTTTTTTTTAAATGATATTATTGTTTGTTAACTAACAATAATTAATATATAAATAAAAGTTTATGTTATGGTAATTAAAGCAAGGAAATTATGAATATGTTGTTTTTATATTCACATTGATTTAGTTCAATGCTCTACCAGGGGCATGTTTTAATTAGTGGCAACAACTCAGTTTAACTTTGATTTGCACGTGCAATAAAATTTAAGCATTTTCATTTAAATACATGTGGTTTTGTATACTGGTTATAAACATGGCTGAGTTGGGTTGTGATTTGAGGTAGGAGCAAAACGCTTATTGCAAAATTCATGGGTTATTGGGTTAATGCTCGTAGAAAAAAAAACAGATCTAGATTTAGTGTATGGACAAAATGCCCTTCCATATCGTACAATTGCAAGGTGGGTGTCAATGTTTAAGGAATGTAGAACTAATGTTAAGAATGATCACCGCCCTGGGCGGCCGATTTCGGCTACCTCTGAAAAAGACTTATCCCTGTCTAAACCATAGTTGACGAAGATGCAAGATATACTGTGGAAGAAATAAGTGACATATCGGGCCTTAAACTTAGTTTTTCATCTTGAAATAAAAGTTAAGGAAAGTGCGCCCGTTGAATCTCGCATGCTTACTTCTGATGTCCAGAAAAAGGGGCGGGTTGACCTCGGCCTTATTGTCTAGGTTCAAGAGAGAAATTGTCACTGGTATGAAACGTGGCTTTTTTGAGCCCCCGACGATAAACTCGGTAATAAAAGTGGGAAGGTGAAAACAACGATCGCCCAGTTGTTGCTCGACGTAGCAGGAACGTCTGTGGCGCCGTGTGGCGCCGTTATATGTCGCACTTACCGCTAAATGTCGCACCATTGCCGCTAAATGTCGCAACCACCGCTTAATGTCCCAAAATCATTTGCCGCTAAATGTCGCAATGTTAACGTTAAATGTCGTACGAATTTCCCCTACCGTTAAATGTCGCAACACTGCCGTTAAATGTCGCAAGATGTAAATTCATGTTAAAATCATGATTAAAAGTAGTATTATTTTACTTTTTAACGCTCTCATAGTTATTTTTTACTGTAATTGCCATTTAAAAAAAAGTATCTTTGTTTTAATTGTTTTCTTTTATGAACCTAAATTGAGGTTTTAGCTGCTATATAATTCTCTTGACGCTAGAAAGCGTTTTCTGAAAGATACTATTGAAATTCAATTCTCAATAGATAAGTTTTTTTTTTTGTCTCCCTTTTTCATTTATAACCCTGATTGGCAACATCTTAAAGTATTATGATATTGTCTATCAGAATTCGGTTTAAGTCATTTCATTGATTTGAAGAGACCTTTTTTGTTGCTAGTGCTAATAGTATTCGTAAACGGGCGGTTTAAAGCCTCATTTACACAGTCCCGGTGTGGCGCAACGGTTTAGTCAACCGGGATCAACCGTGGTAAACCGGCCAAGGGCCGTAGCGATTCCGTGAAGAACCGTGACAAACCGTGGTGAACCGGAACAAACCGGAAGATCGCCACGGTTGTATTTAAATGTTTAATACAACCGGGGCTCACCGGCATTCACCGAGGGGAAGCCCAAAACCGTGTTCTATCGGCTTGGAACAGGGAATTGCCAGGGAAACCACCGTATCTATACCGCATCCATACCGTGACAAATCGTAGTAAACCGGAATGCGTGTCAATCAATGTCCCAAACGGCAAAGCCTCGGTGATGATACGATGTTGCCACGGTGAAACAGGCAGAGCTACGGTTGAGCCAGTGTACATTGAGGTCATTAGGCAACAACGCTCCGGTTGGAGCCGGTAATGTCCCGGATATTGCCCGACAAGTATGGTTATACAACGGTGATAGACGGTGGTGTAAACGACCTCATGCCGATAACAGGAAATTTAAAGAACAGGAATATATAAACTTGAAGTGTATGGCATGTTAAACGTTGCAATATTCAATAAATTTAATTTTTGGTCTATATCCAATATTTATATTGTATAACTCTAATTTTATATGCTTTACCATTATATTTATTCTATCCTTCTAT